CTGCTACTACTACTACTACTGCTACTACTGCTACTGCTACTACTGCTACTACTGCTACTACTACTACTACTACTGCTACTACTGCTACTACTGCTACTACTGCTACTACTACTGCTACTGCTACTACTGCTACTACTGCTACTGCTACTACTACTGCTACTACTGCTACTACTACTAATGATATTACTGCTACTACTGCTACTACTACTGCTACTACTACCACTACTGCTACTACTGCTACTGCTACTACTGCTACTACTGCTACTGCTACTACTACTGCTACTACTACTGCTACTACTACTACTAGTGCTGCTACTACTGCTACTGCTACTACTACTACTACTGCTACTTCTATTGCTACTGCTACTACTACTACTGCTACTGCTACTACTACTACTACTGCTACTGCTATTGCTACTGCTACTACTACTACTGCTACTACTGCTACTACTACTGCTACTGCTACTACTGCTACTGCTACAACTGCTACTACTACCGCTGCTACTACTACTACTGCTGCTACTACTGCTACTGCTACTACTACTACTACTGCTACTGCTATTGCTACTGCTACTACTACTACTGCTACTACTACTGCTACTACTACTGCTGCTGCTACTACTGCTACTACTACTGCTGCTACTACTGCTACTGCTACTACTACTACTACTGCTACTACTACTGCTACTACTACTACTACTGCTGCTACTACTGCTACTGCTACTACTACTACTACTGCTACTGCTATTGCTACTGCTACTACTACTACTGCTACTACTGCTACTACTACTGCTACTACTACTACTGCTACTACTACTACTGCTACTACTGCTACTGCTACTACTGCTACTGCTACTACTGCTACTACAACAACAGTTGGAGGCTGCGGTCCATCAGACATTAGAGATTTTATACTAGCTTCTAGGGCGGCACGGTGGCTGAGTGGATAGCACTCTCGCCTCTCAGCAAGAAGGTCCTGGGTTCGAATCCCGGTCGGACCAGGGCCTTTCTGAGTGGAGTTTGCATGTTCTCCCCGTGTCTGCGTAGGTTTCCTCCGGGTACTCCGGTTTCCCCTACCACTAAAAATATGTACAATAGGTCTGGCATGCGCCTCCTGTTCGGCGACCCCGCTCCCATCTCTGTGTGGAGTGAGAGACAAGTGCCCAAGAATAATAACAATTGTAAACCGCTTTGTGACTCTGGTCTGTGAACGGCGGTATATAAATAAAACTTACTTACTTACTTCTTTATTATGCTAAAGCTAGAGATTTTATTTTATCATACTTTGCTAGCAGGTCCTGGGTCATACTGTTCACCGTCAGTCAATAGGAGCCAGAGCTATAAGTTTTGTAGTCAAACTTAGTCCATGCACACGTCCCTGCTGGGCCTCGTCGAGCTAGCACGTTAGCATCGTCCATGTATACACAGTCTATGCCTCCATCTCCCGTATTCAAGGCCATAGCTTCGACTGTCCCCATTTCCCCGTACGACTGACGCACAGTTCTTTTAATGCGTGCGTTGCAACCAAACACCTTTGATTCACACTTTTTACTCAGAAAGAAACAGGGGATAATGTTTTATTTGTGGCTTGGAGGCGAGAGTCAGATGAGTCATGTCATGGCTGCAGGGCATCTGCGTGAAACTCACCGGATCGAGCTGTTGCAACATTCTCTTTCAAGTTAATTCCAGAAAACTAATGAAATGGTCTCTTTTTAAACCTCGCCTTTCTCCTCGTGATAACACAAGCTTTTTCAATATTCACAGAAAAAGTTGTAGAAGTGTGACATTGTGAATAACTCCACAACAGAATGCTGTATTGTCCAAAAACATGTTATTTTTAGTTGAGTATGAGTCACTCTTTGAGGATTGGTGCTGAGAGCTGATTGGCTGAGGGGGGGTCCTTTCTTTTTTGTTATTCTGTCTGAAAAATCTGATCTAAAAATGTGACAGAGGCAAAAAACAGCGAGCAGTAACTAAAGTAAAGCCTTGTTTCCACCAGCTCTACTTGGCTCTATTGTACTCAACTCAGCTTTACTCTACTCTACTCTACTCTACTCTACTCTACTCTTAAGGAACTTTTTTGTGGTTTAAAAGTTTCGCACCCCAGCTTTAAGTGAACATCCACATTTGCTGTGTTTCTTTTCCATCTCACAGTAAAAGCAGTAGTTTATTTGCCGAGAGAAACTGAAGTTATCATTATTTTCCGATCCATACCGACTGATCAATGTCTATAAACAGCAGCGGTGCCTGGAGCTGGAGAATGACGATACATGCCAGACTATTCTCTGCGATCATCCAGACGTGAGATTTTCTCCAATGACAGAATGCTTCATGTTTGTCCATAAATATCACAGTTTGGTGACGGTTCATCAATCGCATGTTGGTGCTGTTGAACCCGGCGCGGCGCTTTGGTCTGGATCTGTCATCACGTCTGACAGTTTTCTCCATCTGATCCGAGCTGCATATGTAGGTTCTGTGGCAAAACCAGGACATGGCTTTCCTCCACGTCCTCAAATCCATCAGGAAGCAGCAGCAGCAGCAGCAGCAGCAGCAGCGGTGTTGTTTACTGATTCTTCAATACAAATGGATCTAGTCTCTTGCTGAGATGGAAAGAGACAAAAGTAGTATGTATGCTTTATTACAGTCATCTACTGTATCTATTGACATTTCTAAACATTAGTCATCTGCCCATCATGGAATCAATGGCTCTGAGTAAGTAGTTAGTCATGTTTATTTATATAACGCATTTTTACAGACCAAGGTCACCCCCAAAGCGCTTTACGAAGCTCAGATATAGTTCCATCCTCTCCACACGGTGATGCCAGAAGCGAGACCTGAACACACTGGTCCATCAAAGCCCCCGACCCAACACCATCCAATCAGACCTATTGTACGTGTCTTTAGTAGTAGGGGAAACTGGAGCACCCGGAGGAAACTGGAGCAGACAGACATGGGGAGAACATGCAAACTCCACTCAGAAAGGCCCTGTTCCACTCAGAAAGGCCCTGTTCCACTCAGAAAGGCCCTATTCCACTCAGAAAGGCCCCGGGGATTCGAACCCAGGACCTTCTTGCTGAGAAGCGAGAAGAAGCAATGTGTTTGTGTTTGTTGCATTTGATTGTCTGATCTGTGTTGGTGAATCGACAACTTTGTGAAGTCCTCCGAGATAACTACTGTTGTTATTTAGGGCTATTGAAAAAATTAATTGAGTTGAAGAAGGTCAATGCTAATCCACTAGCTTAACCGAGCTAGTTTAACCGAGCTATCTTAACCGAGCTAGTTTAACCGAGCTATCTTAACCGAGCTAGCTTAACTGAGCTAGCTTAACCGAGCTAGCTTAACCGAGCTAGCTTGACCGAGCTAGCTTAACCGAGCTAGCTTGATCGAGCTAGCTTAACCGAGCTAGCTTGACCGAGCTAGCTTAACCGAGCTAGCTTGATCGAGGTAGCTTAACCGAGCTAGCTTGATCGAGCTAGCTTGATCGAGCTGGCTTAACCGAGCTAGCTGAACGGTTATCCTTGGCTCCTGTTTGTTATGACTGCCTTTCCTGTCTCCCTGTGTTTGATTCTCTGATCTGTTGTTGGGGAACTGCTTTTGTGCAGTAAAGCTAAACAAAAACACGTTAAATTAAGTTGAATTGAATTTACATTTCAACACATTTAAATAAACATTCAACAGTTATATTCTCTCCATTTTGATGCACACAGTTTATGGAGCTTGTTTATGAAAGGGTCGTCTCCATGGAAACGGTATCTTTTCTTTACAATGGGTTGAAGTAAAATAGTTTAATGACGCAGGCGACGACGGCACAGTCTGCCCTAATTCTCCACAATCAGCTTTGATTACTGATGACGAGAGCGAGATCTTATTGAGCAAACGGCCACAGCTCTTTATATGTTTTAAATCTGTGTCATTTGTTTCTTTTTCAATTCAATAAACCACAGTAAATCTTGGGCCTCATTCCCACTGAGCAAAAACACAGGACTTTGGACCAAAAACTGGGTTAGGGACAGAGCCTGGCGGGTCAAAACAACTGGGCATTCAACCATTCAAGCTCTATACGGTGTGTGGAGTACACACCGTATAGAGCAGTCTCCATGAGGTGCTCACAGATGACGGCTTTGTACTTTAGCAGAATAATCAGATGAATAGAATGTGTAATAATGTAGTAATCATAACAGAAGGTAAAGTGAGGAGTGATTGTGACTGAGCCTCTGCTGCACCTCTGAGGCTTTCTCCGGGGGTTTCTGGGTGAAACCAGACGCCGCTGGAGCTGGAGCTGGGGCTGGAGCTGGAGCTGGAGCTGGAGCTGGAGCTGGAGCTGGGGCTGGGGCTGGGGCTGGAGCTGGGGCTGGAGCTGGGGCTGGGCTGGGGCTGGAGCTGGAGCTGGAGCTGGAGCTGGAGCTGGAGCTGGGCTAGAGCTGGAGCTGGAGCTGGAGCTGGAGCTGGAGCTGGAGCTGGAGCTGGGTGGAGCTGGGCTGGGGCTGGGGCTGGGGCTGGAGCTGGAGCTGGAGCTGGAGCTGGGGCTGGGGCTGGAGCTGGAGCTGGGGCTGGAGCTGAGCTGGGGCTAGAGCTGGAGCTGGGGCTAGAGCTGGAGCTGGAGCTGGAGCTGGAGCTGGAGCTGGAGCTGGGGCTGGAGCTGAGCTGGGGCTAGAGCTGGAGCTGGGGCTAGAGCTGGAGCTGGAGCTGGAGCTGGAGCTGGAGCTGGAGCTGGAGCTGGAGCTGGAGCTGGGGCTGGAGCTGGAGCTGGAGCTGAGGCTGGGGCTGGGGCTGGAGCTGGAGCTGGGGCTGGGGCTGGAGCTGGAGCTGGAGCTGGGGCTGGGGCTGGAGCTGGAGCTGGAGCTGAGGCTGGAGCTGGAGCTGGGGCTGGAGCTGGAGCTGGGGCTGGAGCTGGAGCTGGGCTGGGGCTGGAGCTGGGGCTAGAGCTGGAGCTGGAGCTGGGGCTGGGGCTGGAGCTGGGGCTGGAGCTGGAGCTGGGCTGGGGCTGGAGCTGGGGCTAGAGCTGGAGCTGGGGCTGGGGCTGGGGCTGGAGCTGGGGCTGGAGCTGGGGCTGGGGCTGGAGCTGGGGCTGGAGCTGGGGCTGGAGCTGGGGCTGCGGCTGGAGCTGGGGCTAGAGCTGGAGCTGGGGCTGGAGCTGGAGCTGGAGCTGGAGCTGGAGCTGGGGCTGGAGCTGGAGCTGGAGCTGGAGCTGGAGCTGGAGCTGGGGCTGGAGCTGGGGCTGGAGCTGGAGCTGGGGCTGGAGCTGGGGCTGGAGCTGGAGCTGGGGCTGGAGCTGAGCTGGGGCTGGAGCTGGGCTGGAGCTGGGGCTGGGGCTGGAGCTGGAGCTGGAGCTGGGGCTGGGGCTGGGGCTGGAGCTGGGGCTGGGGCTGGAGCTAGGGCTGGGGCTGGGGCTGGAGCTGGAGCTGGGGCTGGAGCTGGAGCTGGGGCTGGGGCTGGAGCTGGGGCTGGAGCTGGAGCTAGGGCTGGAGCTGGGGCTGGGGCTGGAGCTGGGGCTGGAGCTGGAGCTGGAGCTGGGGCTAGAGCTGGAGCTGGAGCTGGAGCTGGGGCTGGAGCTAGGGCTGGGGCTGGAGCTGGAGCTGGGGCTGGAGCTGGAGCTGGGGCTGGGGCTGGAGCTGGGGCTGGGGCTGGGGCTGGAGCTGGAGCTGGGGCTGGAGCTGGAGCTGAGGAGCTGGGGCTGGGGCTGGAGCTGGGGCTGGAGCTGGAGCTGGGGCTGGGGCTGGAGCTGGAGCTGGAGCTGGAGCTGGGGCTGGGGCTGGGGCTGGGGCTGGGGCTGGGGCTGGAGCTGGGGCTGGAGCTGGGGCTGGAGCTGGGGCTGGGGCTGGAGCTGGGGCTGGGGCTGGAGCTGGGGCTAGAGCTGGAGCTGGAGCTGGGGCTGGGAGCTGGGGCTGGAGCTGGGGCTGGGGCTGGAGCTGGGGCTGGAGCTGGAGCTGGGGCTGGGGCTGGGGCTGGGGCTGGAGCTGGAGCTGGAGCTGGGGCTGAGGCTGGGGCTGGAGCTGGGGCTGGGGCTGGGGCTGGGGCTGGAGCTGGGGCTGGGGCTGGAGCTAGGGCTGGAGCTGGGGCTGGAGCTGGGGCTGGGGCTGGAGCTGAAGCTGGAGCTGGAGCTGAGGCTGGGGCTGGAGCTGGGGCTAGAGCTGGAGCTGGAGCTGGGGCTAGAGCTGGAGCTGGAGCTGGGGCTGGGGCTGGAGCTGGGGCTGGAGCTGGGGCTAGAGCTGGAGCTGGAGCTGGGGCTAGAGCTGGAGCTGGGGCTGGAGCTGGGGCTGGAGCTGGGGCTGGGGCTGGGGCTGGGGCTGGAGCTGGAGCTGGAGCTGAGCTGGGGCTGGAGCTGGGGCTGGGGCTGGGGCTGGGGGGGCTGGAGCTGGGGCTGGGGCTGGAGCTAGGGCTGGAACTGGGGCTGGAGCTGGGGCTGGGGCTGGAGCTGGGGCTGGAGCTGGGGCTGGAGCTGGGGCTGGGGCTGGGGCTGGAGCTGGAGCTGGGGCTGGAGCTGGAGCTGGGGCTTGAGCTGGGGCTGGGGGTGGGGCTGGGGCTTGAGCTGGGGCTGGGGCTGGGGCTGGGGCTGGGGCTGGGGCTGGAGCTGGGGCTGGGGCTTGAGCTGGGGCTGCGGCTGGGGCTGGAGCTGGGGCTGGGGCTGGAGCTGGGGCTAGAGCTGGAGCTGGGGCTAGAGCTGGAGCTGGGGCTGGGGCTTGAGCTGGGGCTGCGGCTGGGGCTGGAGCTGGGGCTGGGGCTGGAGCTGGGGCTAGAGCTGGGGCTAGAGCTGGAGCTGGGGCTAGAGCTTGAGCTGGGGCTTGAGCTGGGGCTGGAGCTGGGGCTGGGGCTGGAGCTGGGGCTAGAGCTGGAGCTGGGGCTAGAGCTTGAGCTGGGGCTTGAGCTGGGGCTGGGGCTGGGGCTGGGGCTGGGCTGGGGCTGGGGCTTGAGCTGGGCTGGGCTGGGGCTGGGGCTGGGGCTGGAGCTGGGGCTGGGGGCTGGAGCTGGGGCTGGGGCTGGGGCTGGGGCTAGAGCTGGAGCTGGGGCTGGGGCTGCGGCTGGGGCTGGGGCTGGGGCTGGGGCTGGGGCTGGAGCTAGGGCTGGAGCTGGAGCTGGGGCTGGGGCTGGGGCTGGGGCTGGGGCTGGAGCTAGGGCTGGAGCTGGGGCTGGGGCTGGAGCTGGGGCTGGAGCTGGAGCTGGGGCTGGGGCTGGAGCTGGGGCTGGGGCTGGGGCTGGAGCTAGGGCTGGAGCTGGGGCTGGAGCTGGGGCTGGAGCTGGGGCTGGAGCTGGGGCTGGGGCTGGAGCTGGGGCTGGGGCTGGAGCTGGGGCTGGGGCTGGAGCTAGGGCTGGAGCTGGGGCTGGAGCTGGGGCTGGGGCTGGAGCTGGGGCTGGAGCTGGAGCTGGGGCTGGGGCTGGGGCTGGGGCTGGGGCTGGGGCTGGGGCTTGAGCTGGAGCTGGAGCTGGGGCTGGAGCTGGGGCTGGAGCTAGGGCTGGAGCTGGGGCTGGAGCTGGGGCTGGGGCTGGAGCTGGGGCTGGAGCTGGAGCTGGAGCTGGGGCTAGAGCTGGAGCTGGAGCTGGGGCTGGGGCTGGAGCTGGAGCTGGAGCTGGGGCTGGAGCTAGGGCTGGAGCTGGGGCTGGAGCTGGGGCTGGGGCTGGAGCTGGGGCTGGGGCTGGAGCTGGGGCTGGAGCTGGAGCTGGAGCTGGGGCTAGAGCTGGAGCTGGAGCTGGGGCTGGGGCTAGAGCTGGAGCTGGAGCTGGGGCTGGAGCTGGGGCTGGAGCTAGGGCTGGAGCTGGGGCTGGGGCTGGAGCTGGGGCTGGAGCTGGAGCTGGGGCTGGGGCTGGGGCTGGGGCTGGGGGGCTGGAGCTGGGGCTGGGGCTGGGGCTGAAGCTGGAGCTGGAGCTGAGGCTGGGGCTGGGGCTGGGGCTGGAGCTGGGGCTGGGGCTGGGGCTGGAGCTGGGGCTGGAGCTGGGGCTAGAGCTGGAGCTGGAGCTGGGGCTAGAGCTGGAGCTGGAGCTGGGGCTGGGGCTGGAGCTGGGGCTGGAGCTGGGGCTAGAGCTGGAGCTGGAGCTGGGGCTAGAGCTGGAGCTGGGGCTGGAGCTGGGGCTGGAGCTGGGGCTGGGGCTGGGGCTGGAGCTGGAGCTGGAGCTGGGGCTGGAGCTGGGGCTGGGGCTGGGGCTGGAGCTGGGGCTGGGGCTGGAGCTAGGGCTGGAGCTGGGGCTGGAGCTGGGGCTGGAGCTGGGGCTGGGGCTGGGGCTGGGGCTGGGGCTGGGGCTGGAGCTGGGGCTGGGGCTGGAGCTGGGGCTGGGGCTGGGGCTGGGCTGGGCTGGAGCTGGAGCTGGGGCTGGAGCTGGAGCTGGGGCTTGAGCTGGGGCTGGGGCTGGGGCTGGGGCTTGAGCTGGGGCTGGGGCTGGGGCTGGGGCTGGGGCTGGAGCTGGGGCTGGGGCTGGAGCTGGGGCTGGGGCTGGAGCTGGGGCTAGAGCTGGAGCTGGGGCTAGAGCTGGAGCTGGGGCTGGGGCTTGAGCTGGGGCTGGGGCTGGGGCTGTAGCTGGTGCTGGGGCTGGGGCTGGAGCTGGGGCTGGGGCTTGAGCTGGGGCTGCGGCTGGAGCTGGGGCTAGAGCTGGAGCTGGGGCTGGGGCTGGAGCTGGGGCTAGAGCTGGAGCTGGGGCTGGGGCTGGGGCTGCGGCTGGGGCTGGGGCTGGAGCTGGAGCTGGAGCTGGGGCTGGAGCTGGAGCTGGGGCTGGGGCTGGGGCTGGGGCTGGAGCTGGAGCTGGAGCTGGGGCTGGAGCTGGAGCTGGGGCTGGAGCTGGGGCTGGGGCTGGGGCTGGAGCTGGGGCTGGGGCTGGGGCTGGAGCTGGAGCTGGGGCTGGGGCTGGAGCTGGGGCTGGGGGTCTTTCACTGCGTTGTGTTGTTTACTATAATCATTGTGGGGATTGACTTATATTCAGGGACAAAGACAAATCACCCCTCGCTCTGCACTGGAGGCTGTCACATGTTTAGTCCTGCTTACACACACACACACACACACAGACACATACACACAGACACGCACGCACACACACACACAGACACATACACACAGACACGCACGCACACACACACACACACACACACACACACAGACAAATACACATACACGTATACAGACAGACATACACATAGACACGCACGCACACACACATACTCACACACACACACATACAGACAGACATAGACACATAGACAGGCACGCACACACACACACACTCAAACACACACACACAGACATAGACACATAGACAGGCACGCACACACACTCACACACACACACACAGACATAGACACATAGACACACACATACTCATACAGACACACATACACACACACAGACAGACATACACACATAGACACGCACACACACACACACATACAGACACACATAGACACATAGACACGCACGCACACACATACGTACTCACACATACACACATACAGAAAGACATACACATAGACACATAGACACACACGCACACACAGACACATACAGACATACAGACAGACACATAGACACGCACGCACACACAAACTCATACACACAGAGACACACAGTCATACACAGACACACACATACGCTCACACACACACACACACACACACACACACACTCGCACACACCACAGGACACCAATTTGCAAACATTTCTCATTTCACAGACTCAACATGAGGGATTTTACACCGTTGCTGCATATAATTTGGCTCAGCAGTGGACGCGGTGGCGGCAGCGGTAGGAAAGGAAGAAAAGAGTATTGTACTGGGGAGAAAACAACAATATCCAGGCAATTTACAATAAAGTACCTAACTATAAAGTAACTTTCAATCAATCTGGAGAGACTCGAACTGAGAAAAACCCAGACCCTGGAGGTGGGAGCTATAGGGGAAGGATGAAGGAGCCTGGGACGAGGCGGAGATGGGGAGGAGGAGGGTTGCAGCGTGAATCAAGCTGTCGTTTCATCCTCTTCCCCCTCTCTCTGCCCTCTCATCCTCTTTCCCTCTCTCTCTCTCTCTCTCTCTCCTTCAGTCTCTACATGAATGAACCGCAGTCTTCCAACACGTGTGAAACTCTTGATAAATAAGTCATGTTTGGAGTCGAGTTCCAGTAAATCTCTTGATCTCAAACAAATCGATAAACGCTGGAGCGGCAGCAGCAGCAGCAGCAGCAGCGGCAGCAGTAGCAGCAGCAGCAGCAGCAGCAGCAGCAGCAGCAGCAGCAGCAGCAGCAGCAGCAGCAGAGGTTTTTGAATGAGCGTTTCATAATTCAGCGAGAAAGAAATGAATGGATCTGAGGCGTGGAGCTGCTTTTTCTTAATGACGGACTGAGGACGTTCAGAGCCACACGGAGGCTTCAGCTCGGATGGATGTGATACTGTATGTTATACTGACAGTGGCTCAGATGTAGAGCATTGGCCTTTGAGCCTGAAGGTTGTAGGTTCGAGGCCATCATGAGACTTCCTCCACCGACTCCCGCTGATGTCTGCTGTCGTTGTGTCCTTAGGCAAGACACTTCCCCCACATTAGAATGAGTCTGGTGTGTGTGTGAATGGTTGGTGGCGGTGGGAGGAGCTGATGGCTGGTTGCCTTGCCTCTGTCAGTGTGCCCCAGGGCAGCTGTGGCTACAGTAGTAGTTCAGCACCACCGTGTTTGGAGAGAATGAACAATGACATGTGAAGAGACTTTGAGTGTCCAGAAAAGCGCTGTATAAAACAAATGCACTATTATTATTACACTTCGGTAGCAATGGGCAGATGAAGCCCCGAAACACGCCGAGGGTTTCTTTGCCAGATTGTTTCAAATGAGCTCATACTAGGTTGTAACGCTGACATCTAGTGGACAAATGTAATCGTTGCAGCTTCTGAACACTTTTAACAATTACGACAATTTCACCATTAAACATAAATGGTAGATAACACTTAAAAAAAAACATTTGATGAGACAATTCTTTGTTAGGTTGAATGAGATCAAAATATTGAGTTTACTATAATTTCCAACACCAATGATAAAAAGCATTGGATCGGGACTCAAAATCGGATTTGAAGTTTAACAATCGGATCAGAGGCAAAAACCAGTAATCGGGACATCCCTGTTGATCCTGTTGGTCGGGATCGTCTCTGCTCTGGTTTGGATCTGTGTAAAACCATGAACACTGTTGAACACTATCAAGCTCTTTCTCAGCTGGTTCGGCCTTTCTGCCTTTTCCAGCAAATTCAAAAGTAAAACCTTCAACCTTTGTGATTGTCCTAATAGCATCTTGTTCACATTTTGGATCTGAGTCCATTTGTTTACATAATTAACAGTGATTTCCAGCTTTGACAGCAGACTGTGACGTTTGTTCTGATCCCTCTGGTTTTGACATCAGCCGTTTCTACGCTCATTCATAAAACCAACTGCTTTGACAGTGGCATATTTTCCATATAAAAACCCAGACGACATTCTCGGCACCAGAAAAGTCACACATTGCATCCATTAAACCGACAAGACTCAAATCATAGCTTGTGTTTTCTCGAGCAATTTCCCAGCTTGACTTATCGCCTGAATGCATTACCATATGTTAACGAAAAAATGTCCAATTGCTTCAAAGCTGCACCAGTAAACCCCTGTTTATCGCTTCATGAATCAGTTTTCCCTCTTTTTCCGATCATGTTTGACACAAAATACATGCTACCGCTACATAGCCCGAAAGGTTAACCTCCCAATGAAAGAATATATGAAGGGAAAGAAAACATGAGGGTTGCCTCCTCCTGACGTATGGCCGTGCCCCCGACGCGCTCCATCCATTTTAAACACCACATTATGTCTTCCAGCAGCTAAACCTCTATCGTTCATAATCACATGTTTGTAATCGGCAACTTTAATGCCTGTGCCACGGTGATAAATGTAACCATGCTAGCAGATGATCATGTTACTCCCCAACACTGACAGCACCAAACAGGAAGTTAGCATGTTTTTACAGTGTGTTTTTGTTTTGACTGCACACTGCAAAAAAAGGATAAAATATGAGGTGATAATGTTTTTTATATCTTACTTTGAGTTCATTCTGACAAAAGACAGACTTATTTCAATGTCTGTGTCACGGCGAGGACTGTGGAAGAGGAACCGGTTTGGTCAAAGATCCAATGGGGACCAAGACAAACGTGTGTTCAGGCTCCCTGTCCTACCCCTGTCTCTCACTCTAGCACATTCTCTCACTCTCACTCACCCTCTCTCTCTCTCACTCACTCACTCTAGCACATTCTCTCACTCTCACTCACTCACTTACTCACTCACACTCTCTCTCTCTCTCTCTCTCTCACGCTCACTCTCTCTCTCTCTCTCTCTCACTCACTCACACTGCGTCTGTGTTTGTATGTGGTGTGTTTTTAGGCGTGCTGACCCTGGCGTCTGTGTTTGTATGTGGTGTGTTTTTAGGCGTGCTGACCCTGGCGTCTGTGTTTGTATGTGGTGTGTTTTTAGGCGTGCTGACCCTGGCGTCTGTGTTTGTATGTGGTGTGTTTTTAGGCGTGCTGACCCTGGCGTCTGTGTTTGTATGTGGTGTGTTTTTAGGCGTGCTGACCCTGGCGTCTGTGTTTGTATGTGGTGTGTTTTTAGGCGTGCTGACCCTGGCGTCTGTGTTTGTATGTGGTGTGTTTTTAGGCGTGCTGACCCTGGCGTCTGTGTTTGTATGTGGTGTGTTTTTAGGCGTGCTGACCCTGGCGTCTGTGTTTGTATGTGGTGTGTTTTTAGGCGTGCTGACCCTGGCGTCTGTGTTTGTATGTGGTGTGTTTTAGGCGTGCTGACCCTGGCGTCTGTGTTTGTATGTGGTGTGTTTTAGGCGTGCTGACCCTGGCGTCTGTGTTTGTATGTGGTGTGTTTTTAGGCGTGCTGACCCTGGCGTCTGTGTTTGTATGTGATGTGTTTTTAGGCGTGCTGACCCTGGCGTCTGTGTTTGTATGTGATGTGTTTTTAGGCGTGCTGACCCTGGCGTCTGTGTTTGTATGTGGTGTGTTTTAGGCGTGCTGACCCTGACGTCTGTGTTTGTATGTGGTGTGTTTTTAGGCGTGCTGACCCTGGCGTCTGTGTTTGTATGTGGTGTGTTTTTAGGCGTGCTGACCCTGGCGTCTGTGTTTGTATGTGGTGTGTTTCAGGCGTGCTGACCCTGGCGTCTGTGTTTGTATGTGGTGTGTTTTTAGGCGTGCTGACCCTGGCGTCTGTGTTTGTATGTGGTGTGTTTTTAGGCGTGCTGACCCTGGCGTCTGTGTTTGTATGTGGTGTGTTTTTAGGCGTGCTGACCCTGGCGTCTGTGTTTGTATGTGGTGTGTTTTTAGGCGTGCTGACCCTGACGTCTGTGTTTGTATGTGGTGTGTTTTTAGGCGTGCTGACCCTGGCGTCTGTGTTTGTATGTGGTGTGTTTTTAGGCGTGCTGACCCTGACGTCTGTGTTTGTATGTGGTGTGTTTTTAGGCGTGCTGACCCTGGCGTCTGTGTTTGTATGTGGTGTGTTTTAGGCGTGCTGACCCTGACGTCTGTGTTTGTATGTGGTGTGTTTTTAGGCGTGCTGACCCTGGCGTCTGTGTTTGTATGTGGTGTGTTTTAGGCGTGCTGACCCTGGCGTCTGTGTTTGTATGTGGTGTGTTTTAGGCGTGCTGACCCTGGCGTCTGTATTTGTATTTGGTGTGTTTTTAGGCGTGCTGACCCTGGCGTCTGTGTTTGTATGTGGTGTGTTTTTAGGCGTGCTGACCCTGGCGTCTGTGTTTGTATGTGGTGTGTTTTAGGCGTGCTGACCCCGGCGTCTGTGTTTGTATGTGGTGTGTTTTAGGCGTGCTGACCCTGACGTCTGTGTTTGTATGTGGTGTGTTTTTAGGCGTGCTGACCCTGGCTTCTGTGTTTGTATGTGGTGTGTTTTTAGGTGTGCTGACCCTAGCGTCTGTGTTTGTATGTGGTGTGTTTTTAGGCGTGCTGACCCTGGCGTCTGTGTTTGTATGTGGTGTGTTTTAGGCGTGCTGACCCTGACGTCTGTGTTTGTATGTGGTGTGTTTTTAGGCGTGCTGACCCTGGCGTCTGTGTTTGTATGTGGTGTGTTTTTAGGTGTGCTGACCCTAGCGTCTGTGTTTGTATGTGGTGTGTTTTTAGGCGTGCTGACCCTGGCATCTGTGTTTGTATGTGGTGTGTTTTAGGCGTGCTGACCCTGGCGTCTGTGTTTGTATGTGGTGTGTTTCAGGCGTGCTGACCCTGGCGTCTGTGTTTGTATGTGGTGTGTTTCAGGCGTGCTGACCCTGGCGTCTGTGTTTGTATGTGGTGTGTTTTAGGCGTGCTGACCCTGACGTCTGTGTTTGTATGTGGTGTGTTTTTAGGCGTGCTGACCCTGACGTCTGTGTTTGTATGTGGTGTGTTTTTAGGCGTACTGACCCTGGCGTCTGTGTTTGTATGTGGTGTGTTTTTAGGTGTGCTGACCCTGGCGTCTGTGTTTGTATGTGGTGTGTTTTTAGGCGTGCTGACCCTGGCGTCTGTGTTTGTATGTGGTGTGTTTTTAGGCGTGCTGACCCTAGCGTCTATGTTTGTATGTGGTGTGTTTTTAGGCGTGCTGACCCTGACGTCTGTGTTTGTATGTGGTGTGTTTTTAGGCGTACTGACCCTGGCGTCTGTGTTTGTATGTGGTGTGTTTTTAGGTGTGCTGACCCTGGCGTCTGTGTTTGTATGTGGTGTGTTTTTAGGCGTGCTGACCCTGGCGTCTGTGTTTGTATGTGGTGTGTTTTTAGGCGTGCTGACCCTAGCGTCTATGTTTGTATGTGGTGTGTTTTTAGGCGTGCTGACCCTGGCGTCTGTGTTTGTATGTGGTGTGTTTTTAGGCGTGCTGACCTTGGCGTCTGTGTTTGTATGTGGTGTGTTTTTAGGCGTGCTGACCCTGGCGTCTGTGTTTGTATGTGGTGTGTTTCAGGCGTGCTGACCCTGGCGTCTGTGTTTGTATGTGGTGTGTTTTAGGCGTGCTGACCCTGGCGTCTGTGTTTGTATGTGGTGTGTTTTTAGGCGTGCTGACCCTGGCGTCTGTGTTTGTATGTGGTGTGTTTTTAGGCGTGCTGACCTTGGCGTCTGTGTTTTGTATGTGGTGTGTTTCAGGCGTGCTGACCCTGGCGTCTGTGTTTGTATGTGGTGTGTTTCAGGCGTGCTGACCCTGGCGTCTGTGTTTGTATGTGGTGTGTTTTTAGGCGTGCTGACCCTGGCGTCTGTGTTTGTATGTGGTGTGTTTTTAGGCGTGCTGACCCTAGCGTCTATGTTTGTATGTGGTGTGTTTTTAGGCGTGCTGACCCTGGCGTCTGTGTTTGTATGTGGTGTGTTTTTAGGCGTGCTGACCTTGGCGTCTGTGTTTGTATGTGGTGTGTTTTTAGGCGTGCTGACCCTGGCGTCTGTGTTTGTATGTGGTGTGTTTTTAGGCGTGCTGACCCTGGCGTCTGTGTTTGTATGTGGTGTGTTTCAGGCGTGCTGACCCTGGCGTCTGTGTTTGTATGTGGTGTGTTTCAGGCATGCTGACCCTGGCGTCTGTGTTTGTATGTGGTGTGTTTTTAGGCGTGCTGACCCTGGCGTCTGTGTTTGTATGTGGTGTGTTTCAGGCGTGCTGACCCTGGCGTCTGTGTTTGTATGTGGTGTGTTTCAGGCGTGCTGACCCTGGCGTCTGTGTTTGTATGTGGTGTGTTTTTAGGCGTGCTGACCCTGACGTTTGTGTTTGTATGTGGTGTGTTTCAGGCGTGCTGACCCTGGCGTCTGTGTTTGTATGTGGTGTGTTTTTAGGGTGCTGACCCTGGCGTCTGTGTTTGTATGTGGTGTGTTTTTAGGCGTGCTGACCCTGACGTCTGTGTTTGTATGTGGTGTGTTTTTAGGCGTACTGACCCTGGCGTCTGTGTTTGTATGTGGTGTGTTTTTAGGCGTGCTGACCCTGGCGTCTGTGTTTGTATGTGGTGTGTTTTTAGGCGTGCTGACCCTGGCGTCTGTGTTTGTATGTGGTGTGTTTTTAGGCGTGCTGACCCTAGCGTCTATGTTTGTATGTGGTGTGTTTTTAGGCGTGCTGACCCTGGCGTCTGTGTTTGTATGTGGTGTGTTTTTAGGCGTGCTGACCCTGGCGTCTGTGTTTGTATGTGGTGTGTTTCAGGCGTGCTGACCCTGACGTCTGTGTTTGTATGTGGTGTGTTTTTAGGCGTGCTGACCCTGGCGTCTGTGTTTGTATGTGGTGTGTTTTTAGGCGTGCTGACCCTGACGTTTGTGTTTGTATGTGGTGTGTTTCAGGCGTGCTGACCCTGGCGTCGGGCCTGGACTATGAGACGTGTCATGAGTACTACCTGTCAGTAGAGGGCAGCACTGGCCGCTCCACCCTCAAAGACAGCACCATGGTCCTCATCAGCGTGACGGACGAGAACGACAACCCGCCCGTGTTTGGGAAAGGAGACTACAGCGCCGAGGTGTCTGAGGACCTGACCCCGGGAAGCCTGGTCACAAAGGTACGCCCGTGTCACTGTTAGGCAAGGATAATAACGGCTTAAAGTCTTTTTGTATCGCCCTAAACCACAACAGTTGTTCTCTCTGAGGAGTTTACAAAGCTGTCGATTCACAAACACAGATCAGAGAATCAAACGGTTCAAACATAGGAAATGCAGTGATAGAAAATGTCATTGAATGTCGGGTGTCCAGGATCATCACAGGTTTAGTTTCAGCTAGCCAGTAGCGCAAGCTCCTGATTGGCTCTTGGTAACTCGGCTGTTGCTACCAGAATAACATGCATACATTTGGCTCTATACCTGCGGAAATGTCCTGTTTGATCTCCTTCTAAACTGCCTCTTCCGTGTGAAGGCTAACGCTAAGTATGTTGCCGCGCTCTGTAAGTCCACTCCTCATATATGATCCATGGACATTAGCAGCACTTCAATAACTCTACATGTTTTTCTATCGTTACATTTCTTGTATTACTTGCATATCTAATTTAACTATACATGTTTTCATTTAGTTGACTAATGTAGAGTTATACATTAAATATGGCACATGACCGAGATTTTCCACAGTTATTACAGAGATTACAGTTTTATTATGTTGGCAGAAAATAGCTCTCTATTCTATTCAATTAACTTTATTCTTGTATTGCCCTAAATCACAACAGTATTTATCTAAGAAGACTTTGCAAAACCATTGAAATCGCCAACACAGATCATTTCAAACACAGAGAATATACAGTAGAACACATGGTATTGGACCATATGGAGAGACCAATGTCCATAAATGTAGTAGAATGTAGAGCGTAGAGAGTCAAACCGGTCCTCAAAGGGCCAGTGTGGCTGCAGGTTTTGTTCCAACCCGAGTCCGAACCCACCAGACTCCACCCATTTCCTCAGGTGAGTCCAGTTTTTACCTGATTGGAGGAAACCACACCGGCCCTTTCTGGAACTGGTTTAACCCCCGTGATGTGGACTGTCCTGGATCATCACTAACAGTCCGAGTCCTGCATCAGAGGAACGACTCTAAAATCTGTAGTGGAAAGTCATGTCCCCTTTAATGCTTCTCATGGATCCGTCCTCTGTCTGTGAGGTCCCCTTTAAGTTCGAGTCCTCCTCATGGATCCTTCCTCTGTCGTGTGAGGTCCCCTTTAAGTTCAAGTCCTTCTCATGGATCCGTCCTCTGTCTTGTGAGATGTCCCCTTTAAGTTCGAGTCCTCCTCATGGATCCGTCCTCTGTCTTGTGAGATGTCCCCTTTAAGTTCGAGTCCTGCTCATGGATCCGTCCTCTGTCTCGTGTGAGGTCCCCTTTAAGTTCGAGTCCTGCTCATGGATCCGTCCTCTGTCCCGTGTGAGGTCCCCTTTAAGTTCAAGTCCTTCTCATGGATCCGTCCTCTGTCCCGTGTGAGGTCCCCTTTAAGTTCAAGTCCTTCTCATGGATCCGTCCTCTGTCTCGTGTGAGGTCCCCTTTAAGTTCGAGTCCTTTTCATGGATCCGTCCTCTGTCTCGTGTGATTTCCGCTTTAAGTTCGAGTCCTCCTCATGGATCCGTCCTCTGTCGTGTGAGGTCCCCCTTAAGTTCAAGTTCTTTTCATGGATCCTTCCTCTGTCGTGTGAGGTCCCCTTTAAGTTCGAGTCCTCCTCATGGATCCGTCCTCTGTCTCGTGAGATGTCCCCTTTAAGTTTGAGTCCTCCTCATGGATCCGTCCTCTGTTGTGTGATGTCCCCTTTAAGTTTGAGTCCTCCTCATGGATCCGTCCTCTGTCTCGTGTGAGGTCCCCTTTAAGTTTGAGTCCTCCTCATGGATATGTCCTCTGTCGTGTGAGGTCCCCTTTAAGTTTGAGTCCTCCTCATGGATCCCTCCTCTGTCTCGTGTGAGGTCCCCTTTAAGTTTGAGTCCTCCTCATGGATTCGTCCTCTGTCTCGTGAGATGTCCCCTTTAAGTTTGAGTCCTCCTCATGGATCCGTCCTCTGTTGTGCGTTGTCCCCTTTAAGTTTGAGTCCTCCTCATGGATCCGTCCTCTGTTGTGTGATGTCCCCTTTAAGTTTGAGTCCTTCTCATGGATTCGTCCACTGTCTCGTGTGATGTCCCCTTTAAGTTTGAGTCCTCCTCGTGGATCCGTCCTCTGTCGTGTGAGGTCCCCCTTAAGTTCAAGTCCTTTTTATGGATCTTTCCTCTGTCGTGTGAGGTCCCCTTTAAGTTCGAGTCCTCCTCATGGATCCGTCCTCTGTCTCGTGTGAGGTCCCCTTTAAGTTTGAGTCCTCCTCATGGATTTGTCCTCTGTCTCGTGAGATGTCCCCTTTAAGTTTGAGTCCTCCTCATGGATCCGTCCTCTGTTGTGTGATGTCCCCTTTAAGTTCGAGTCCTCCTCATGGATCCGTCCTCTGTCTCGTGTGATGTCCCCTTTAAGTTTGAGTTGTCCTCATGGATCCCTCCTCTGTCGTGTGAGGTCCCCTTTAAGTTTGAGTCCTCCTCATGGATCCGTCCTCTGTCTCGTGTGATGTCCCCTTTAAGTTTGAGTTGTCCTCATGGATCCCTCCTCTGTCTTGTGTGAGGTCCCCTTTAAGTTCGAGTCCTGCTCATGGATCCGTCCTCTGTCGTGTGAGGTCCCCTTTAAGTTTGAGTCCTCCTCATGGATTTGTCCTCTGTCTCGTGTGAGGTCCCCTTTAAGTTCGAGTCCTGCTCATGGATCCGTCCTCCGTCGGAGCTTTTTGTCCTGGTCCTGACATTTCTCTGATGCGTCGCTATTGAAACTGTGGCACGTAAAGAATGAAAGGAATGGATTTATTGTTCAGAGCCGACACCATGAGTCACAGATGATTGCAGTGAACGTTGAAGATAATGTCTGGGACTTTTGACATTTGTGAGAAATACTTACGGATTTAGTTCTACTTTTCCTTCTGCCGTTTTTACACGACGTGAAAATACACTTTGGATTTTCTATTTCAAGACCAGCACAACACGTGTGAAAACTAGGCTGGAGGTTTCTGGTCTCCACCATAGACGCTGATGGTCCAGGATAACCACGTTTATGGTCATTTATTAGCATTTTCTTATGGACCAATGTCTCTTTGTGTTTTGGATAATTCCATTTCCTGTCTTTGAACTGTCTCTGATCTTTGTTGGCCAAATGACAACTAAAAATTGTGAGAGAGAGAGAGACTTTATTGAAATTCAGGTGTCCAGCAGCAGAAGACTCTTTTTTGTTGTTGTTGTTTTTGTACAGTCAGTCAGGTTTGTTGTACAGTCTGACAGTCAAAGGAACAAAGGGTCTCTTGAAACGTTCCGTTCGGCAGCGTAGTGATAGGAGCCTGTTGCTTCCATTACTCCTCTGAGCGGCCATAGTGTCATGCAGAGGGTGTCTGGAGTTACCCAGGATGCACTGCTCCCACAGAGTCCACACTTTTCCCCATCACAGAGACACATTTCCTGATCAGCCTGAGCCGGTTACTGTCTCTGAGGTCAGACTGCCCCCAACACGCAACCCTGGAGAACACAGCACTAGCTACAGACTGCCCCCAACACGCAACCCCAAAGAACACGGCACTAGCTACAGACTGCCCCCAACACGCAACCCCGAAGAACACGGCACTAGCTACAGACTGCCCCCAACACGCAACCCCGAAGAACACGGCACTAGCTACAGACTGCCCCCAACACGCAACCCCGAAGAACACGGCACTAGCTACAGACTGCCCCCAACACGCAACCCCGAAGAACACGGCACTAGCTACAGACTGCCCCCAACACGCAACCCCAAAGAACACGGCACTAGCTACAGACTGCCCCCAACACGCAACCCCAAAGAACACGGCACTAGCTACAGACTGCCCCCAACACGCAAACCCAAAGAACACGGCACTAGTTACAGACTGCCCCCAACATGCAACCCGGAAGAACACGCAACCCAGAAAAACACGCAACCCCGAAGAACACGGCACTAGCTACAGACTGCCCCCAACACGCAACCCCAAAGAACACGGCACTAGCTACAGACTGCCCCCAACATGCAACCCCGAAAGAACACGCAACCCCGAAGAACACAGCACTAGCTACAGACTGCCCCCAACATGCAACCCGGAAGAACACGGCACTAGTTACAGACTGCCCCCAACATGCAACCCCAAAAGAACACGCAACCCCGAAGAACACGCAACCCCAAAGAACACAGCACTAGCTACAGACTGGACCCAACATGCAACCCGGAAGAACACGGCACTAGTTACAGACTGCCCCCAACATGCAACCCCAAAAGAACACGCAACCCCGAAGAACACCGCAACCCAGAAGAACACAGCACTAGCTACAGACTGCCCCCAACATGCAACCCGGAAGAACACGGCACTAGTTACAGACTGCCCCCAACATGCAACCCCAAAAGAACACGCAACCCCGAAGAACACGCAAACCCAAAGAACACGGCACTAGCTACAGACTGCCCCCAACATGCAACCCGGAAGAACACGGCACTAGCTACAGACTGCCCCCAACACGCAACCCCGAAGAACACGGCACTAGCTACAGACTGCCCCCAACACGCAACCCCAAAGAACACGGCACTAGCTACAGACTGCCCCCAACACGCAAACCCAAAGAACACGGCACTAGCTACAGACTGCCCCCAACACGCAACCCCGAAGAACACGGCACTAGCTACAGACTGCCCCCAACACGCAACCCCAAAGAACACGGCACTAGCTACAGACTGCCCCCAACATGCAACCCGGAAGAACACGCAACCCAGAAAAACACACAACCCCGAAGAACACGGCACTAGCTACAGACTGCCCCCAACACGCAACCCCAAAGAACACGGCACTAGCTACAGACTGCCCCCAACATGCAACAAGGAAGAACACGCAACCCAGAAAAACACGCAACCCCGAAGAACACGGCACTAGCTACAGACTGCCCCCAACATGCAACCCCGAAAGAACACGCAACCCCGAAGAACACAGCACTAGCTACAGACTGCCCCCAACATGCAACCCGGAAAAACACGGCACTAGTTACAGACTGCCCCCAACATGCAACCCCAAAAGAACACGCAACCCCGAAGAACACGGCACTAGCTACAGACTGCCCCCAACATGCAACCCGGAAGAACACGGCACTAGCTACAGACTGCCCCCAACACGCAACCCCGAAGAACACGGCACTAGCTACAGACTGCCCCCAACACGCAAACCCAAAGAACACGGCACTAGCTACAGACTGCCCCCAACACGCAACCCCAAAGAACACGGCACTAGCTACAGACTGCCCCCAACACGCAACCCCAAAGAACACGGCACTAGCTACAGACTGCCCCCAACATGCAACCCGGAAGAACACGCAACCCAGAAAAACACGCAACCCCGAAGAACACGGCACTAGCTACAGACTGCCCCCAACACGCAACCCCAAAGAACACGGCACTAGCTACAGACTGCCCCCAACATGCAACCCCGAAAGAACACGCAACCCCGAAGAACACAGCACTAGCTACAGACTGCCCCCAACATGCAACCCGGAAGAACACGGCACTAGTTACAGCCTGCCCCCAACATGCAACCCCAAAAGAACACGCAACCCCGAAGAACACAGCACTAGCTACAGACTGCCCCCAACATGCAACCCGGAAGAACACGGCACTAGTTACAGACTGCCCCCAACATGCAACCCCAAAAGAACACGCAACCCCGAAGAACACGCAACCCCAAAGAACACAGCACTAGCTACAGACTGGACCCAACATGCAACCCGGAAGAACACGGCACTAGTTACAGACTGCCCCCAACATGCAACCCCAAAAGAACACGCAACCCCGAAGAACACGCAACCCAGAAGAACACAGCACTAGCTACAGACTGCCCCCAACATGCAACCCGGAAGAACACGGCACTAGTTACAGACTGCCCCCAACATGCAACCCCAAAAGAACACGCAACCCCGAAGAACACGCAAACCCAAAGAACACGGCACTAGCTACAGACTGCCCCCAACATGCAACCCGGAAGAACACGGCACTAGCTACAGACTGCCCCCAACACGCAACCCCGAAGAACACGGCACTAGCTACAGACTGCCCCCAACACGCAACCCCAAAGAACACGGCACTAGCTACAGACTGCCTCCAACATGCAAACCCAAAGAACACGGCACTAGCTACAGACTGCCCCCAACAAGCAACCCCGAAGAACACGGCACTAGCTACAGACTGCCCCCAACACGCAACCCCAAAGAACACGGCACTAGCTACAGACTGCCCCCAACATGCAACCCGGAAGAACACGCAACCCAGAAAAGCACGCAACCCCGAAGAACACGGCACTAGCTACAGACTGCCCCCAACACGCAACCCCAAAGAACGCGGCACTAGCTACAGACTGCCCCCAACATGCAACAAGGAAGAACACGCAACCCAGAAAAACACGCAACCCCGAAGAACACGGCACTAGCTACAGACTGCCCCCAACATGCAACCCCGAAAGAACACGCAACCCCGAAGAACACGCAACCCCAAAGAACACAGCACTAGCTACAGACTGCCCCCAACATGCAACCCGGAAGAACACGGCACTAGTTACAGACTGCCCCCAACATGCAACCCCAAAAGAACACGCAACCCCGAAGAACACGCAACCCCAAAGAACACGGCACTAGCTACAGACTGCCCCCAACATGCAACCCGGAAGAACACGGCACTAGCTACAGACTGCCCCCAACACGCAACCCCGAAGAACACGGCACTAGCTACAGACTGCCCCCAACACGCAACCCCGAAGAACACGGCACTAGCTACAGACTGCCCCCAACACGCAACCCCAAAGAACACGGCACTAGCTACAGACTGCCCCCAACATGCAACCCGGAAGAACACGCAACCCAGAAAAACACGCAACCCCGAAGAACACGGCACTAGCTACAGACTGCCCCCAACACGCAACCCCAAAGAACACGGCACTAGCTACAGACTGCCCCCAACATGCAACCCGGAAGAACACGCAACCCAGAAAAACACGCAACCCCGAAGAACACGGCACTAGCTACAGACTGCCCCCAACATGCAACCCCGAAAGAACACGCAACCCCGAAGAACACGCAACCCCGAAGAACACAGCACTAGCTACAGACTGCCCCCAACATGCAACCCGGAAGAACACGGCACTAGTTACAGACTGCCCCCAACATGCAACCCCAAAAGAACACGCAACCCCGAAGAACACGCAACCCCGAAGAACACGGCACTAGCTACAGACTGCCCCCAACACACTACACAAAATGTAATCGAATTTAATGTACTGTATATGAAGATGGACAATGCTAAGCCGCTAGCCTACTGATTATTATTGAAATCTGATATGTAATTTGTATTATTTTGGACAACACGTGGTGCAGCAGAAGGTCCTGGCTTGAATTCCACCTCCAGGCCTTTCCGTGTGGAGTTTGCGTGTTCTCCCAGTGTGTCTCCTTTAGCTGCTCCGGGTTAAAAACATGTACAAAAGGTCTGATTGTAATGAGTGAGGGATTGGATGGTGTTTGGTCAGAGACTTTGATGGACCAGTGTGTTCGATGTCTCACTTCTCAACAATATCTGAACTCTGTAAAACGCTTTGGGTGACCTTGGTCTGTAAAATGGGCTATACAAATAAACCATACTTATTTTGTAGAGGAGAGGTAAAGACACATCTCTTTCCATGGCTCAGTTTTTTACCCAATTAAATCTGGTCGATTCATCTTATTAGAAAACCTGTTCACTTTTGCTTATAAGTTAGAAAAAGACTCAGAGCTGGTCCTTTTTTCCTACTTTTCTGACACTTGTGAGAATTAGCGATTGAACTAACCTGTTTTAAAAGCGAGGTTCTTGGATTTTCATGACATTGAACCATGTTTGTGAAAGTCAGGTCCTCCAGCTTTAAGTGAGTGTGTTGTGTGGTCTGCAGGTCATAGCCACAGACGCAGACGGTCCAGGAAATAGTCTGCTCCGCTTCTCCATCGTCAACGGAGACCCTCAGCAGCAGTTCCACATCGACCCGAGGACCGGAGACATCAGCGTCAGGACCGCCCTGGACCGGGAGCAGGTCTGGACCTCTGAGGGCGGGGGATACATATGACTATAAACCATAATATACAATTAGAATGAGATGTGTTTGTCGTTTCCATTGCGTTCATGTTTATTCATAAATACATAACGTCTGGAGGAAGTGTCCCGGGGATTCTGAGGTCTCTGCATAATCAGAAAATCACTATCAAGACCTAAGATACTAGATTTTATCAAACAAACCACATTCAAACTTCAACCCATTTAACAGCTAAAGTTTAAAAATCAAAAGTCTTTCACAATCTCCAAATGGCAATAAATACAAGTTTCCAAAAATAAGGTGAACTTAAAAATCTGTGGTGGGAGCTTAACTTACTAGCAGTAGCAGTAGTAGCAGTAGTAGTAGTAGTAGCAGTAGCAGTAGTAGCAGTAGTAGTAGTAGCAGTAGTAGTAGTAGTAGTAGTAGTAGCAGTAGTAGTAGTAGTAGTAGTAGCAGTAGCAGTAGTAGTAGTAGTAGCAGTAGCAGTAGCAGTAG